TCCTGGCGGGGGCCTGAAACAAGCTGTCCTTGCGCCAGGGCGTACTCTGCTCCTCCGTCAAAGACGAATAAAAGCAAAGCTATGGAGACTCCTCAGACCACTAGGAATGGAGCGGCCTAGGGCCATCCACTGCTAGGGACCTACCCAAAGGACACAGAATCGGGGATTCAAAAGGACACCTGCACCCCGTGTTTATTGCAGCTCCACTCGCAGCAGGCAAATCCTGGAAAGGAATACTATGCGGCCATCAAAAGGACGAGCCCTCACCATCTGTTCCCCTAATCACAACAGGCGCGCAAAAGGAATACTATGCAGCCGTCAAAAGGACGAGCTCCGCCATCTGCTTCCCCAGGCACAATAGGCGTGCAAAAGGAATACGATGCAGCTGTCAAAAAGGATGAGCTCCCGCCATTTGCTTCCCTAGGTACAATAGGCAGATCCTGGAAACCACCCAAACGCCCCAAACTACAAGGCTGGATCAAGAAGATGTGGTACAGACACACAGAGGAATACTATGCACCCCTCAAAAGGGATGAGTCTCCCCCCCCCCCATTTGCTTCCCTAGTTACAATAGGCACATCCTGGAAACCAACTGAATGCCCCAAACTGCAAGGCTGGATCAAAAAGACGTGGTACAGATACGCAGAGGAATACTATGCAGCCGTCAAAAGGATGAGCTCCCGTCATTTGCTTCCCTAGGTACAATAGGCAAATCTGGAAACCACCCAAATGCCCCAAACAACAAGGCTGGATCAAGAAGATGTGGTACAGGTACGCAGAGGAATACTATGCAGCCGTCAAAAGGGACGGGCTCCCGTCATTTGCTTCCCTGGTTACAAAAGGCGTGTGAAGGAAAACTATGCAACCGTCAAAAAGGATGAGCCCCCACCATTTGCTTCGCTAGTTACAATAGGCAAATCCTGGAAACCACCCAAACACCCCAAGTTACAAGGCTGGATCAAGAAGACGTGGTACAGACACGCAGAGGAATACTATGTGGCCATCAAAAAGGATGAGCTCCCGTCATTTGGTTCGCTAGCTACAATAGGCAAATCCTGGAAACCACCCAAACACCCCAAGTTACAAGGCTGGATCAGGAAAGACGTGCTACAGACACGCAGAGGAATACTATGCAGCCGTCAAAAAGGATGAGCTCCCCACCATTTGCTTCCCTAGTTATAATAGACTGAGAAAGCAGTGAAACGATTTGAGGGTCAGAGCCGGAGGGTCCCCCCACCCTGGAGGGCCCACTTGCCACTGTGTGGGGGTCACTTAGGACATATAACTGACTTTCGGGGAGCACTGTCCTGGTGGGAAATGTGGGTGTCCAGCAGGCACAGGAATGCTCCTCACCTTCAATTTATTATTGCTTTTTGATCGTATTGATGGGTGCACACAGAACTGGGGTACAGGCCTGCGGAGACGCAGGAGCGGTGAGGGGATCCCCGAGACCAGCGGTGAGGGGATCCCCGAGACGAGTGAACTTTCTCTTTTTTAAAGGAAAAGACTCCAGGGAACGCGTGGCAGGAACGACAGCCGAGTTTTATTGGACCAGGTGCGCTGCAGCCGGGCAGCAGGTGACCGCCGGCCGGCACGCGGGGGCTGGTCACCGGGGAC